AGCATTGGATGCAGTCTAGACCAGATTTTCACATTTTTAAGATTTTTTTCCTTTATTAATGATAGAACTCATGGGCACATATGTGATATAGATAGGGAAGGGAGTCCTTCCACTGGGTCTGGTCACACCATGAGCCCCTTTCTCTGGTCGTCCAGCCTGTCGGATCTTGGGCATTCATGCGCGTGACAGATGTGTTTCTGTGGGGCTCAGATTTCAAACCGTGACCGCCATGTAGGACCTAGCATCTCCTGAATAGTGAATTATCACTGTGTCATGGAGTTGATCCTAAACTTTTCATTTTATAGGTGAGAGAATGGGCTGAGAGAGGGGAAGAATTTGTCTCGAAGCCACAGTAAGCTAATGACAGAATAAAAAAAAAAGTTTTATTTAAATTAAATTTAGGGCTTAGGAAACGAATATTAGAGATAGTTTTTATTATCTTGGGATAAAACTCAGAGATTATATTACAGTACATGAGGACCCCCTGACAATGTGTGTTACTTAGAAATACTTGAAGGCTGGGAATGGCCAGGGCCCCAGAGTTTCCACACTGAGTTTCTGGAGCCTGAGGAACCCAGAACTGATTTCAGAGGGTCCAAGGGGAGGCCAGCAGGTGAGAAAGCTCATGGTTTCCTTCTCTGCTCCACCTGGAGCATCTCCCCTTCCCTCCTCTGCTCCACCTGGAGCACCTCTCCTTTCACCTGTTCCACACAGGGACAGTTCACATGAGTTGTTTGCCAGAATGCTTTGGCTGCCAGAACATGTTGGGAGACCTGTCTTGCATGTAGGAGACCAGGAGGGGCATGAGGAGCCCTTGGGTACAGACCCTCACCCCGGTTCTAAGGAATCCCTGCCCTCTCATTGCCTTCACTGGCTCTCCCTGGATGCTGATGGTCCTTTCCTGCAGAGTCTCTGATCCCCACGTTGGCTCTGACTCCCTGAGAGTGACTCAGGCCTGGCGGGTGGTCAAGGTTAGGTGACCAAACAGGGCAAGGGCAGTGACCCTGCCAAGGAGGGTGGGGGCGCTTTCCCACACCATGCATCAGATTTGAGGCTGAGAGTAACAGATCTCAGGATCCCGTAATCCCAGGGCTGAATGCGAGGACTTACCTCCCAACCCAGAAAGCCCCAAGCAAACACACCCACCCAGCCTGCTCCACACCCCTGTCAGCTGCTCACCCCTTTGTGACCAGAGTGGGAAAGTTGCCAGATGGAGAAGAGTCACAGAGGGCGATAGCAAAAGTTGCATGTGGGGGGCTGGCCGGTGGGTGGGGGCACCAGCTTGTGCAATGTCCTGCCTCTAGCCCAAGTACGAAAATCTTTTCCCTATTTCCGGAGAAAGAAACTCTTCTCTCTGCCTCTCGTTCTAGGCCGTAAAAGCTCTCTTACACATGAAGTTCTTCTTTATATCTATCTTTAGTTTCTCAGGCTTTAGTTTGAGGACTTGCTGAACTTCTGACAATTCTGATAGAACAGTAAGTCTGCAGGATACGGCTCTGGACTAGAACTTTCTTCCTGTTTGATTTCAGTTTATCATCAGATTTGTAATGAAATTAAATTGGATTTAGTTAATTGGAGGATACAGAATTGATCCCTGGGGGCAGTGCCACGCTCTATTGGGTACATGTAAGGGCAGGGTCGGTCACATGAACCAAGCCGTCAATCATGTGATAAGTGTAGGGGCAGAAAGGAATTGAGCCATGCCTGCAGAACCTGAAGCATGCTGGCCCGAACTATTGCTGTTCTGATTGACCGTAAGCTTTGGGTTTGTACTGTTTATTTCCCCCATAGAGGCTGTGTGGGGCACAATCCCCACATGAAACACTGTAGTGTAGAGGTTAAGGTCGCAGACTTTGATGTCAGACAGATAGGACTGGTTTCCCATCCCCACCACTTTCTAGCTGTGTAACCTCAGGCAAATGACTTAACCTCTCTGAGCCTTGATGTCCATAGCTCCAGGTGGAGCATGGCAACCCCCTCTTTGGCAGGATTGCTGTGAGGAATAGGACACTTATAAGGAAAGCGCCAGGATTTGGCACGTAATGGCAGCTCTAGGTGGAAGTCCCTCCTACCCGAATAGCACTGTGATCTTTCCTTCACAGGATTGCTGTGAGGAATAGGACACTTATAAGGAAAGCGCCAGGATTTGGCACGTAATGGCAGCTAAGGTGGAAGTCCCTCCTACCCAAGAAGCACTGTGATTTTTCCTTCATCTTACTTTTTTGTCTCAGGGCCAGCATATGCTTCCAATTACCTTTATGAGAAGTACCATGGCTCCATGGTCTGGGGGCCCCATAGGCCCAGAATAAGACTGATCGTGCTTTACTGTTTCCCGAAAATTCCCCTCCCCTGCTGGCTTGCTTTTTGTTCAAGACTCTGGGCACAACTCTGGGTACAATGCACCTGCCGAATTTTCTCCTAGTTTTGGAATGTCACAAGACCCATGGTGTGTCATGAGCCACCTAGGATTTCACCTCTGCTGGCACAAACTGTCTACCCTAGTCAAGGCTGTGGAAGTCCCCATCGAACCCTCAGGGGCAGCTGGAGAGTGGAGTGGTGAGTGGGAGAGACAGAGACCAAGTGAGGTAGCCTGGGATCTGAGCTTCAGACTTGCACTCAGGCTGAGATTCTGGCACCCTCCCACCACCTCCTGGGGCAGGAAACCAGATAATTGGACCTCAGCTCCCCAAGGGGATGGCTCTCAGGTCTCTGTTCCTGCAACTCTGCATCCCTGGAGTAGCTCCTGCCTTCCTTATCAGCCATGCCCACTCCTAGAGGCCAGAGTCTTGGAGCCCCGGACCTGAGCAGTCAGCTGGTCAGGTTTGTTCAAGCACCCTGCTCTGGAATGGCTGCTACACAGGTTGGATAGACTGACTTTACACCAGACAGGGTGGTGTGGGTAGGAGGCCCGAGTGCTGATCCTCTAGCACCAGACTGAGATGAGTTTAAGTCCCAGCTCCACCACGTGCCACTGTGTGAGCTTGGAAGTGACTTTACTTCTCTGAGCTCCAAGTCATCATTTGTAAGCTGAGCTAACAATACCAACCGCACAGAGCTTCTAAGGGGGTTACTTGATCAAGTGTATGCAAAGCATCCAACTCAATGCCTGGCACAAAGCTGGCACTCAGTAAAAACTGGTTGATGAGACTAGCAGGAAATCTCTTGTAGGATATTGTCCTAGCCTTGGAAGGCTCCCTGACTACAGGAAGGTGAACCTATGACTCGGGCATTCTCATGCAGCTGTTTGCTGGGGCCTGGGGGCCTCCAGCCCTTCTCTGTTTACTTAGGGTCCACCTGGGTGGAGGCAGGGAGAGACCAGCAAGGGCTGAGGCAGATTGGAGAGAGGGGCGAGAAGGGGGTGCGGGAAGCCACTGTGAATGAGGTGGGGACTAAGATGAGGGGAGAGAGGGAGACAGAAAAGGGAAGGAGCTAGCTGAGCTCCTAGCCAGTCTGTTCTTCCTGCAGCCTATCCCTGGGACTGGGATCCTCACCCTACCTCCCTGCCCTTTCTCTTCGAGCAGAAGGAGCCCTTCACTTTTGCCGTGGTCATCTTTCATTCAGCCAGGGGTAGCTTGGGTCTGTGGGGATTATCCAGGTGCTAGCCACTGCTCTGCCTCAGATTGGAGGTCGCTTCCTCCATGAGGGACTGAGGAGAGGAGGGGGAATGGATTCATCTAGCCAAGTGAAGAAAGGCCATTCTGCTCCTAAGTGGCAAGGCCAAAGCCTGGGCAGGGAGAGAACAAATGCCTACCTGGGTGCCAGGTACCAGAGGCACCTTGTCTCAGTACCTGTGAGGCAGGGATCCCATTTATAGATGAGAAGAGGGCCACCTGGGCTCAGGGAGGTGAGGTGATCCTCCTAGGGCTGCACAGCTAGTTAGCGGCAACAGGTGGGACTTGAACACAGATCTGTTGTACTCAGTGGGAAGAATTTCAGCTGGGCTTAAATTAGGACTTCACGTTTAAAAACATCATTCAGGCATTGTTCTGAGTTCTGCTGAAGGAGTCCCCAGCATCAGAAAAGTTATGAACCCCTGCCTGGAATGCCAGAATTAATATGGGAAAACAGAGCATGCTCTGTTCTGGTGGAGACTAACAAACCAGCGGCAGGGTGCACCCCATCAGCACAGAGCCTAGAGAATGCCGTTCTAGAATTGTGCAAACACAGACCTGAGCAGAGGCCTGAGGGGTAATGTGAGGCCTGAGGCCCAGAGTTGGGGTTTACTAGGGAAGGATTTTTACCTCCCTTCCACTTCTGTCTGCTTGTTACCTACCTCCACACCTGGCAGCTTCTCAGTAACTGTTGGTGAGGTTGAGTTGAGGCTGGACCAGGGTTTGGAATGTATAAAGCTGGAAAATGAGAGATTTCTCTTTTTGTATGTGTATATGGGGCCAAGTGCATATGGAGAAATAAGAATAACACATATGTGTATAGCTCCTGAGAGTTTGCAAAGCACTCCTTTAATCATGATCACACTCTATCTTGTGCAGTAGTGAAGTATTTGTATTATTTCCAGTTATGGATGAAGGCACTGAACTTTGGAGGGTGACTTGGTCAAGGTTTGCAGAGCTGGTGGGAGGCAGGCTGTGTGTGCACTTGAACCCAGGTCCTCCTGTTCCAAATTCTGTGGCGTAAGAGGATGGGTGATGGGATGTCTTCTCTGGTGCAGGAGCTGCCACGAGGCTGGAGGGATGAGAGTGGCTGAAGCATGGAGGGCTGGGCCTAGGCAGGGTCTCTGATTCAGGAGGCCCTGAGGCACCATTTCAGGTTCTCCTGGAGGGGAATGTGATGGGATCCAGTAAACTGCCCTCCAAATGACTTCTGTAGGTGTGTTTAGTGACATGCTGAGCAGGTGCAAGAAAGATGGGCCTGTGCCAAAGGCCAAGCCCAGAGATGTTTCGGATTTTTCCCTTTATGCCCCTGCAACCAAGCCCTGCTGCTCCAGCACATATAAGAGACCCAGGTGCAGGGCTCCAGCATTCATTGGCCTTGCCCTTCCTGCTCCTCTCTGGTAGCTCCGAACTCACTCTCCTCTCTCATCATGATCGCCAGACAGCAGGGTGTCAGGGGTGGCTCTCGGGGCTTCAGCTGTGGCTCGGCCATCGTAGGTGGGGGCAAGAGGGCTGCCTTCAGCTCACTTTCTGTGTCTGGGGGTGCAGGTCGCTGCTCTTCTGGGGGCTTTGGCAGCAGGAGCCTCTACAACCTTGGGGGGAGTAAGAGCATCTGCATGAGTGTGGCTGGGTCTCGGCAAGGCGCTGGCTTTGGGGGTGCTGGAGGCTTTGGAGCTGGCAGCTTTGGTGCTGGTTTCGGCGCTGGCGGCTTTGGTAGTGGATATGGGGGCTCCTTCAATGGCCGGGGTGGTCCTGGCTTCCCAGTATGCCCTGCTGGGGGAATTCAGGAGGTCACGATCAACCAGAGCCTGTTGACCCCACTCCATGTGGAGATTGATCCTGAAATCCAGAAAGTCCGGACTGAGGAGCGGGAGCAGATCAAGACCCTCAATAACAAGTTCGCCTCCTTCATCGACAAGGTGAGCTATGCCCTTGGCCAGATAAGGAGGGTAGAAGCGAGGGTTCCTGAGTTCTGAGATCTCAGACCTGAGCCTGCCACAGGCACTGAGAAAACCACTGAACTTCTCTGTGCCTCACTGTCTACCTGTTGGGGGACTTGTTACTCTACCTTCCTGTCGTGTTCCATAGCTGGTGGGAAGCTCAAAGCATTAGATGTTTGGGGTTCCCTAGACATGCTTATGACATTGGGCAAATCATCTGGCTCTAGCCACCCCAGTTATAGAGTGGGTGCACTATTTCCCCACTTTTCCTCAGACATTGGTTTTGGAAATAACACGATTAACTCCATTACTAATCTAACTATTGGCACTTCTGTTCTTGGAGCAGAAGAAAACAAAGCTGGCTTCGTATATGAAAAAGGGATCAACTCTAATGATGACAGATTCAAGATCTCAACAGGACCTTAGGAAGACCTCCTTCATTGTCCTGAGTCCAAGCAAAAGTGATCATTTTTGTTTGGAGACAGAACGGGACAGAACTATCTTCTGTTTTTGTAGCCCAACTTTCTTTTCCGAGCAAGGTGTAGGGGTTCAGTTCCTTTCAGCTCAGTGATAGCCAAGGGTGATGGATGATGGTGAGCAGTTCGGCCCCAGAGAACTGAGTCATCCCGAGATTGATGACTGGACACATGAGTGCAGCACTCTGGTCCAGGCCGCTCTGGCTCATTACACACCCATGTCATAGATCTTGTAGATGGATGGGCCAGAATAAACAATCTCGGAATAGGTTGAGCGAGTGTATTTGTTTTTCTTGCTTGTTTGAATAAATCCCCTGAAAGAGGCTCTCTTGTAACTCTTGGACACACAGACGTGACGGCAAGACTAAGGGTTCTTTGGTGCTTCCTCATCTCATCTCACTCCATTTTACTTTTTGTATTAAAAACATTCCGTTGTCCTTCCTTGCTTTTCTTTTGATGCTGAAACACATGAAGTGGCAATGGCATCCCAAGCTACTACCTTGGTTTATCTGGCTAGATCATTTCATAGCAGGAGAGAAAGTTCAGAGAAGTATCTTGAAAGATGGAATCTAGCTCAGACTCAGAATACACACACCCACACCCACCCACACACACACACACACACACACACACACACACACACACATATATATACATAGCTTTGATCCTAAATAGCTATACTCAGTTGTGTACAGGTTCACGAGAACACCCCAGATCCATTGATAGGTAAGCATTTTTTTTTAAAAGAATTATTTTATTTAACTTTATTTATTTATGTATTTTAATTTGACAAGAGAGGGAGGGGGGAGAGAGAGAGAGAGAGAGGGAGAGAGAGAGAGAGAAAGTGAGAAAGCTAGCTGCTAGGTCTGGGACTCAAACTGTGGTTGGCTGTGTGGGAGTTCAGAACCCTCAACCACCATGCCTCCTGCTGGCCCTGAAAGCTTATTTTTAAAGTCTTGGGCCAACTGGATCCCACGTGGCCGACTGTGCAGTTTGACTTCTAAACCGGGTGGCTTGAGAAACACACCAGGCATATGTGTGTGTGTGCCCCAAATCCTAAAAGGAAGGAGAGCTGGAAAAGAAGGAATTGCATCGTGACCACGTTCCATGGATGGTGCTTTCTCACCTACCTTCTCTCTCTCTCTCTCTGGTGAGTACAGGCAAAATTAAGATAATAAATAATCAAAAATCTTTAGTGAATTTGTCTTTCTTTTGTCTTGGGTCAGGGTTACTTTGAATATAAGAGCCCCAAACCAAGGTCGTATCTCCTGATTTTACATTATTTTATAGAGGTTCAATGTTCTCTAGTGACCACCCATCCCTGGGCTCTTGGCCACAGCTAGGGAGTTATTCTTGCTGCAGAGTCAGGCCTGCCTCTTCATGTGGCCTGTTTGTTGCTGTGGGCTCAGGAGCAGGGAGGTTCTGCTGACCCTAGTGAATGGTGCCGTGGAGTTGCAACATGGTGACCCTACTTGAGTTGCTCTGGGGCTGTCTTGTTGCCTTGGATGGGCTGGGTGTTGGCCTTGGCTGGCCCTTCTGTCAAAGCTTCAGGGCTGTATCAGTAGGCTGTTGTTGTTTTCAACACAGGTGCGGTTCTTAGAGCAACAGAATAAGGTCCTGGAGACCAAATGGAACCTCCTCCAGCAGCAGACGACCACCACGTCTGTCAAAAACCTTGAGCCCTTATTTGAGGTCTACTTGAGTGCCTTGAGGAAGCAGCTGGACAGCCTTTCCAATGACAAAGGGCGTCTGCAGTCTGAGCTGAAGACCATGCAGGACAGTGTGGAGGACTTCAAGACCAAGTACGTGGGGAAGCAGGAAGGGACCCCATCTGACATATCTGCCCAGTTATGACCCAGGCTCCCTGGGCTCTACTCAGTGCTTTAGAATCTCAGGCTCTGACAAGATCCCTAGAGGGTCCTCTGGTCTGGTTTCCTACAACCATATAGTCATGCCTTCACGGGGTGAGGTCTAGTAACCACAAGTTGCCCTAACCAGAAAATTAGTGATAAATTCAGGGAATTGGGTTTGCCATATGCAAATAAGATCAAAAATTAAACAGATGAAAAGTAATACAGTATGGTCAGAAGAATATAGGTTGTAGAGACAGATGGAGCTGGTCTGAGTAATGATACTCAATTACTAGCTGCATGACCTTAGGTAAGTAGCTTAATATTTCTGAGCTTTGCATTTCTTCACTTTTAAAATGGGGATAATTTTCCTTCCTTATGGTTGTGAGAATTAAGTGAAATTAAATGAGATGGAGAAAGCACCTAGCACAGTGCTGGATATACAGTAAACAGCCCATATATAATCGTTCTGCTTATGCTCACTATTGTGGGATGGGATTGCTGTAATAAATACCAACCCTCTCTTCCAATTCACTCATACACCAAACAAAGGGAACTGGAGTGTGGGCAGTGTTCCTGAGAATCTGACCTGCCCAAGTCGGCCAGAACATTGCCAGTTCTCCTCACACTTGATTTATTGAAAACAGTCTTTTTAAAGTTTGGTTTCCATGTCTGTAGATAAAGCAAGGTCTGGACTAGTATCTTATCCATGGTAATCACTTAGCAAATGTAGAAAGAATGAATATTTGTGTGAACATGGGAAATGGAGCTAATTTCCTGCATGTCTTCAAATGGATGTTTGAAAACAAGCTGAAACCCCAGTAACAGTGGGCTGTTTTCTTTTCCTTCCTGTGCCCACCCCTAGGTATGAAGATGAGATCAACAAACGCACAGCTGCTGAGAATGACTTCGTGGTTCTCAAGAAGGTGAGAGATGAAGGATGGAGAGAAGTGCTTTCAGGGTTTCCCTTCCCTTTTGGAATAGTCTTGGCTTGAACCATGGGTTTGGTCCATCTCTGTCTCATCTCCACCTCATTTGGTGCTATCCAGTCCAAGAAGTGGATAACTGACCCAGGGTCTAAGGAATTGAGGTTGGAAGCAGCTGGTCAGCTTGGTCAATGACAAAGGGCCACTGTTTGGATAATTAACTTCCGTATCTTTAGCTGACTTTACAGGCAGATATATAAAATAATTGGCCCTTCAGCACCTTGCCTGGTGCTCTCTAGTCTTCCCCAACTGCTGCTGAGGGTACTTTTAGGTATTACTGAGCATTCTGCCCCACTTATAATTTCTGCCCCTTATCTCTCCTCCTCCCCTCTCTGCAGGATGTGGATGCTGCCTACATGACCAAGGTGGAGCTGGAGGCCAAGGTGGATGGCCTTAATGATGAGATCAGCTTCCTGAAGGCCTTCTATGATGCGGTGAGGATTCCATCCCCTTCCATCCTGGGAAAGGGAATCCCCCAACTATGAGGTTTTTGGTTGGGTTTCTTTGAAAGGATGCCTTACTTCAGGGATGTGGGTTTTCATCTTTAAAAGGGTTGTAGTGAAGCGAAGCATTTAGCTAGGTGATTCTTAAAAACAAATGTTGTTTAAGAAGAGGTGATTAGACCTAAATATTACACAGGATAGAATTGATTGCTGTCTAGCATTTCTTTGGTGAAATGAAGTCATTCCATTCTCTTTAATTTCATGTACCAAGAACCAGGTGCATTAGACATGGAGTGACTTGTGGTTCCCAGGGACCAGTAAAGACTAGAAGCATTACTTTTTGTCCTGAGATGTCGCTAACCACTTAATTTCTACTTAGAAATGTACCTCTCCCCATGTCCCTCCCCCCCAATAAATTGGAATGGTAATTCTACTTCCATCTGAGCCTGTATCATGGCCGTTTCCATGACAATGGCAGATTTCTGTGTCAGAGGTCAGGAAAGACTCTTCTGGGGACTGATCTGAGACATTTGTCTTGTAGGAGCTGTCCCAGATGCAGACCCATGTCAGTGACACATCCGTGGTCCTCTCTATGGACAACAACCGCAATCTGGACCTGGACAGCATCATCGCGGAGGTCCGTGCCCAGTATGAAGAGATTGCCCAGAGGAGCAAGGCTGAGGCTGAGGCGCTGTACCAGACCAAGGTAGGGGTCTCTTAGGAGATGAGAGTGGTTTGGGGGCTCTGCTTTTGTTGTCTCTGAACAGATGATCATCAGCTTGAACCCAAAAGAACTGGATACCAATGGATTCTCCCAGGCATCATTGATCCTGATCTGATTTGGAATTGCTTTGTTTTATCCCTGCCACCTGTGGTTCTTCTCATTGAGTTAATCTGAGAATGGATCCTACCCAAATACCTCTGACCTTTTGTACCCTGTGTCTCCTTGGGTTTTAGGTCCAACAACTCCAGACCTCAGTTGACTTACATGGTGACAGCCTGAAGAACACCAAGAGTGAGATTGCAGAGCTCAACAGGATGATCCAGAGGCTGAGGGCTGAGATCGAGAATGTCAAGAAGCAGGTAGGTGTCACTCTCTTCCAACTGAAGTACAGGGCTTGGGGTCCAAGGCAGCTGTCTCCATAGTGGACAAGCATGGAGCCAGAGGACTGAGCTTGTCTACAGGGGATTCATAGCTCTTTATGCAAGCCATACCCAGATACTTTTAACAATATCTTAGTTAATCTGACATGACACCCCAGTACATAGGTTTCTTGGATCTTCTTCACTGGTTTTTGATAATTTTTATCCAATTAGTGGGCTCTGACTTGAATGAATGAAATGTAGAAGTGTCAGGGGAAGATGGGGAAAATCCTGACATCTTAACCTAAGCAAAGCTGTCCCAGAGGAGGTGATAGGTAGGTGCAGAGGCCTTGCAAGCAGGACACTGATGGCCTCCTGTCAAATGCTCTCACCTACAGTGCCAGACTCTGCAGGCATCTGTGGCTGATGCTGAGCAGCGTGGGGAGGTGGCCCTCAAAGATGCCTATAACAAGCGCACAGAGCTGGAGGGTGCCCTGCAGAAGGCCAAGGAGGAGCTGGCCAAGATGTTGCGCGAGTACCAGGAGCTGATGAACGTGAAGCTGGCCTTGGACATCGAGATTGCCACCTACCGCAAGCTGCTGGAGGGCGAGGAGTTCAGGTGAGAGAGGAAGGCAGGGAGAACATGAGGGAAGGAGAGGTCCAGGGCCTTGAGTTTGCACCTCTTCTGGGCTGCCTGCTTCAGTGCTGGGCTGGTCCACTATGAACCAGGACAGTAGAGATAACAGGTTCACACTTGGCCCTGTAAATCTCGAGACCTGTTTATTGATCGAAACACAGTGTAGGCTTCCTGTGTCTCATTGCTCTTTCTCTCCCCCACAGAATGTCTGGAGAATGCCAGAGTGCCGTGAGCATCTGTAAGTTCCTTCTGTCTCTATCATGGCCATTCACTCACCCTGGTCTGGGCTGAGACTCCTGGTGGCTGGTACTGTTGAAATAACTATGTCCTCTGCCTCTCTCTTACAGCCGTGGTCGGCAGTGGGGTCAGTGCTGGAGGAATCGGTGGAGGATTAGGAAGCTCCTCTGGATTTGGCCTAGGTAGTGGCTTCGGCTCTGGCTCTGGAAGTGGCTTCGGGTTTGGCGGCGGCGTCAGTGGAAGTTCCAGCGGCAAGATCATCACTACCAAGAGATCCCAGCGATAGAGAAGCTATGTGTCTCTGCAATCCCTTAAGCCCAGCTGGGCCCAGCCCTGGTGTCTGCGTTTCCTTCTCTTTGCCCACACCCTCCCTCTCTGGGGCTCACCTTACCAGTATCATCTCCATTCTCCTCTGGGAGCTCTCTGCTCCAGGATGATCTTCTCTGCCAGGACATAGACTCTGCCCTCATGGAGTTTGATAGCTTCTTCTTGATTTGGGCCTGGTCACCCCTCAGGGGGATGGATGTCAGCTGACTTTTCATACCTCCCATGGACAGAGGAGAAAATTACCAGGAGCTTAGTCTCTGGAATCGTCAGGATCACATATGTCCCCTCCCAGCCCAACAGCATTTTCCACCAGATCCTGGATATCCATCTACATAGGAACCAAACTCATTCTCCGTCACCTGGCAGCAGCTGGCCCTGCAAGGTTGAGACAAGAACCACTCAGTGTCCCGTTCAATTCTTTTCACTCGCTCTATCTGTCTTCAGACGAATCTTCAATAAATGCTTTTGTCATTCATTCTGAGCAATTGTCATTGTTCTCTGAGGGAGAAATCTTGGAATTCTGTATATCCAGATAATTTAAGTGAAAGTAGATGCTAGGAGTTTGAAGGATCTGACTATACTGATCAAGGTCATTAATTAATTTCTCAGGTTTCCGTTTCAAAGTTGCCCAGGTTGTGGAGGACAATGCAGTATGTGGGGGCCCAAGGCTGCCTATAGGGCAGGTGTACAGACTCCAGAGAGAGCCAGCAGTTATACAAAGGCCACTCATTGTAGGGCAACCCAGGCAGCATCATCTCAATACTGAGCCTAGAATGAACCTGGAGTGAAGGATGCCAAGTCTGCAGGTGTGGACAGGTATGAAGAGAGGTTGCTCAGGGGTCTGTTGAGTATGGAACACTATGGAGAGTATTTATACTCCGTATCCAGCAAGGCTTCCCTATTGTCACGAAACTCCACGCATGAGGCTAAATCCCACTAGACCAACAAGGCTTTCAGGAACTTGTTCTAAAAATGAACAAGGTTCTTTTTCTACCTTGGGCCAATTCCAAGAGACCCAGAGCAGCACAATCTCCATTTTTCAGAGAAAGACTGCGCAGCTCCCATCTGCAGTCTGACCTAAATCCCTCTACTGCAGACACAGACACATTCTTTCTCCTGATTGCCTAATCAGTGCCTCCAACACTGGACTGCCAGGGAGTTCATTCAGACTCCAACCCCTCCTGTGCAGTGACGATGGGGGCCTTGCTGTGTGCAGATGGGCATGTGTTTGCCCAAGGCCAGTCCTGCCCAGGGGCCTTCATGCAGGCAGACCCAGAGTCAGGTGCAGGGCTGCCCTGCCTCTGGGAAGTCAGGGACAGAACAGCAAAGGGTTAATCTAAGGGGCTTATGTTCTCTGGGCAGGGGCCTTTTGCCCAGAGCAGCCGCTCCCTGGGCCTGTCAGTGGCTCTGTCCTCTGCAAGCCCATCCCTAATCTCCCCTTTGTCTCAGGGCTCACTACCTGCCTGGTGTGTCAGAACAGGAAGTCTTTGCAGCCTCATCAGCAGCTTTGATTTCTTCCCACCACTGCACTCCTCCCCTGGGAAAATGCTGAATGGTGTTTTGTGGAGTTTCTAGGGTGGGAGGAGGAGTTTAAGGTTGGATGCAGGAGTGAGGCTTCTCAAATTCACCCGCTAGGAGCTTGTATGCCTCCTGAGCAAGGGCATTGTGGGAATAGCCAGCCTGCTTGGCTTTGCTGGGTCTCTCCGGCCTTTACAATTGCACTTGAGACAGCAAAGTTAGGCTGCGTGTTACACACGTGTCTATGTGGCTTTGTATACATGAGACACATGGCCACGTGAATGTGTTCATGTTTTTTATTTATATAAGAAGATTCCTGTTTTACATACAAGAGGAAAAACACTCATGTTGACCTCTGTTTTCAGAACAGTCCAGGGAGTGGATCTTGGCCATGACTCACAGGTTTGGGGCTGGCTGGCCAGTCAAAGGGGATTAATTGGGGGGAAATGCACTGTTGAGATGATAGACACCACCCTTTTCTCAAATCCTGTAAATTGGAGTCTGGCCAGTTCTTTGTGTTCAGGGGAACTAGGGTGACACATGTTACAATACCCATGCCATCAGAGGCCCCATGTTCTTCCTTTTCTTCTAAATGCTTCACTCCCAGGTTTACTGAAATCACTTGTCACAGCTGAAGCCCAGCGGTGAGCTGGCACATCTTCTACTTGGTTGGTTTGGTTCATCTGCCCTGGCCCCCACTCCAAGCTCTTGGCTTCTATCTCTGGCTCTAGATCTGCCATCAGTTTGGTTCAGAAACCTCCTGGCTCTTAAGTACCTACCGTATTGGCATGGGTCCCTCTGCCTTCACCTTGAGGGCCAGCAGGTGGTGTGGAGGTTAGGGTGGCTGGATCCCACATGGCCAACTGTGTGGTTCTGTCCTAGCCCAGGTGGGACCATTTAACTTTTAAATGGTCTTTATTTATTTTTCTATTGACAGAGGGCACAAGTGAGAGAGAGAGAGAAAGAGAGAGAGATCGATCCTTAATGGGCTGTGGTCACGCTGTAATCCCTTTTCTTCCATTTCTCCATGCCATCAGGAAAAATCCTCTGTGTGAGGCCATGGGAATATAAAGCTTGTTGCAGCATGGTCCTGTTCCTTTTGGAGGAAATAATTCTTTTTTTTTTTGAGAGGTTTTTGTTATAGGGCATGTGGGGGCCAGGGCTGATGAAAGGCAGAGACAGAGAGACAGAAAGCAAGAAATCACCCCTCAGGGGGTTTGGCCACACCACAATCCCTTCTCCTCCATTCTCTTCTTGGGATCTTGGGCATGCATGCACATGCATCCAGCGTGAGTTAAAGCTACCAGGTCTAGGACTCAAACCGTGGTCAACTACATGGGAGTCCAGCAACATAGCCATTATGCCAAGTGCTGGTCCCTGGAGGAAATAATTTAACGTGACTAAGGTGTATGAATATGGGAAGTGTGGGGGAGACAGAGGTTCTACACAGATATTCCAGGTTTTGAGGACAGTGTTGAGAAGTGTAGATGTAAGCACCGATGTTCTAGGAGTACAGGGAGAGACATTTACTTTTGCCAGGGATTCAAGGAAAGCTCCCTGGAGGAGGTGACACCTGAGATAAATATTAAAGCCTGAAAACCTAGCCAGGTAAAACCCCAAAGGGGTTGAGAAGCTGAAGCTGGCGTAAGCATGCTAAGGAGCAGGATGCTCTGGGCAGGAAGTAAAGGCAGGGAAGTGTTGCCCAGTGCAGTATGTCTATGCACTGCGAGCAGCTTAACATCACTCAAGATTAAGGTCAGGGACTGGACAGAATGAGGCTCTATAGAGAGGGAGGTAGAGTCTAGGCTGTGGAGGACTATGGTTTGGACCAGTGTCCAATTGGTTTAGGGATTGGGCTTTATGTTCCAAGACTAGATAAGCTCAGAATACATGTGTCTGTGAGAACGAGTTCCTCAAGAGATGGGGAGGGAACTCTGGGTCACCTGTTTTCAGGGAGTGGCCTTGAGGCCCATGAATTGCACTGGGCTCCGGTCTGGGAACTGCCACATCTATACCTCACTCCCACACTAAACCTTGCAACTGCTCCACCTTCCTTTCCACTCTTGCTTCCTGAGAGGATATGGGGACCAATAGGTTTGTGGTAGTTTCTATGTTTCTTGGCAGAATCATCTCTCATACCCCATGATGCTATTCATTCCACTACTGTTTGTTGAGTACCTTCCATATACTAGGAGTTGTACACTGCTATTTAAAATCTTAGATTGCTTACAGTGTTCCATTACTGCCTGTTTCTTGCCACGATCACACTGTCTGCTTTATGCCCAACTGGATTCTCTCAAATTCTTCAGTGGAGAGAGATTCAGGCTTTTCAAATCACTGCATGGAAAAATAAATTTAAATGTCTTCTTTCCTAGGTTAAATGATGGCTTAGTGATTTTATTCTATCTCTTCTTTTAGCTTTTGTTTTAAGCAATCTCTTTTACAACTTCTTAAGATCTTTCAAAGGTGCTGCTAGTGAAGAAAAGGATGTGGTTTCTGCTATTTACAAGCCTCTGACTGGAGGAGGTACCCCAGACGAATACCATTCAGCACAGAGTAGACTGCTTTTGTCATGCAAAGGAAGTTTATATTAAAATAAAAGCTTATTCAGGGCATAGTCCGCTCCCCACCAGTGTGATTGTCATGGTTTTTTCTCTTTTTTTTTTCTCTGTACTTTAAAAAATTTATCACCATTATTATTCTTTAACAATTTTTATTTCATGCATTTAATTACTGTACATCACTACAGCTTGTAAAATGAATTTACCCAACACAAACATGCTTCTCAGTTGTCCAACTGAAGATAAATACATTATCAGACAACGCTCAATTTCTGTGTTTCTCAAATGCCTTGCCTCTCTATTTTTCTCCTTGATTCCTTTCTTCTCACTCTTCCCCCATCTCCCACTCTCTTCCCACATTGTCTCCAGTGTCTGTAACAGTGTTCTATGTTTCTGTATCCTCTAATCTTTCAGTTTCTGCCACAGAGTGTGGACAGTTGGTATATATTAAGTGGAGACATACAATGTCTCTCTTTCATAGCCTGGCTTGCTGTACTCAGCAGTAAATCTTACATATTCATTCACTTTCTATCAGATATTAGGGTCTTGTTTTTTTATGTTTGAGTAATATTTCATAGTATATATTCCACACTTTTATCCATCTGTTTGTGGACATTTTATTCATCTGTTTGTGGACATTTGGGTTGGTTCCATGTCTTAATGCTGCAATAAACATAGATGTGCAAACATTTTTCCCACTGAGCACTTTTCTGTCCTTTGGGTAGATACTCAGGAGTGGAATTGCTGGATCGTATGGTAGTTTTATTTGGAGGTCTTTGAGGAACCTCCATATTGTTCTCCACAGTGGCTACATTAATTTGTATTCCCACCAACAGTGTAGGGGAGTTCCCTTTTCACCACAGCCTCACCAGCACTTAGCTTTTTTCTTTTTTTAATCTTCACTATTCTGGCTGGGGTTAAGTGGTATCTCATTGTGGTTTGGATTTGCATCTCCCTTATGATAAGGGATTTTGAACATTTTTTTCATATGCTTTTTGGCTGTTCATATGTCTTCCTTAGCTGTTTGTTCAGCTCATTTTCTCATTTTTTAATTGGGTTGATTTTTATTTTTTTTCAGGTAAGCTGCTTGAGTTCCCTGTGTATTCTAGTGATCAGTCCCTTATCTGAGGCATAGTTTACAAAAATATTCTCCCATTCTGAGGGTTGTTGATTCACACTAATTACTGTGTCTTTTGCTGTGCAGAAACTTCTTAATCTGATATAATCCCACTGGTCTATTTTTGGAATTATTGCCTGTGCTTCAGGGGTCTTATTTAAGAAGTCTTTCCTACTCCAATGTCTCTCAGAGTTTCCCTGTGTTTTCCACCAGTAGTTTTATAGTGTGA